TCGAAATAGGTTTGGAGTTTGAACCTCAGGATAAAAGTTTAAAGGATGCGCTTGATGAAGCTAAAAAATTGACAAAAAAGTTAGCCTGGGAGGATTAAGAAACTATAATTTTGGATATGCAATTTTTTTTTTTTTTAGAGAATGAATTCTTTTGAATAGTCTGATCACGTGATTGAATGAGTTTATATGCATTATAAATTAGTTGCAGCAATAATTTTAGAAATTTTTAATATCAGAGAAAATTTAGAAAAACTAGTATAATAGACATTACTGTAAAAACTAATAAAAAAATATTTGTTAGAAAACTTTATAAATATTTATTATATAAGGAGCATCGGGGTAGATAAACACTGAGATGATAAACAATATGAGACAATATTCAAATTTGATTGGCTACTGCTATCCAAATTTTCAATTTGGTTGTTGTATAGCAAAACTATGCTTAGATTATATATTTTATATATATATTCTAAATAGAGTTTCTATCAAATCAAACTTTTGCCAAGTTTGAGTTTGATTTGATGGCTAGCAAAGTAATGGCGCAAAAAATTGGCAGTCATGTGACTAATCCAACATCGATGTAATCTAAATATTAATATTTGCACCAATAAGATAGAGAAGATATATCTAAATTTTTGTGCTGAAACTTTTATTTAATAACAAAAAACTAGGTTTTATAGCAAATTTATGAGTTTTTTACGTTTTCTTGTTTTTTTCTGTAATTTTTTTTTTACTTTAAATTTGTACGTTATATATTGATCTTGCAATCGGATTGATTTTCAAATCAAACTCAAACTCAAACTTTTTTTAAAACTAAGTTTGGTTTGAGTTTAAGCTTAAACTTTCTATTAAGTTTGATTTGATTTGATTTTGATTTCAAAGTTTGACAAACTACAGTCAGATCTCAATATAATCACCAGGTTGGGAAACAAAATTTTGGTGATTATAAAAAGTTGTAATTATATAAAGATTAAAATTTATAAGTTTTATAATAGCAAGATTAAAAAAATAGTGTGCTTATAACAAGGTTGTGATTATATTGAGAGTGACTATAACAAGGTCTGACTATATTTGAGTTTGAATTATATATATAAATTTATATATTAAATCAATTTATATAAAAAATAATAGTATTTTTTATAAGTTTACTAGTAAAATTACAATATAAGTCAAAATTCTATTAATAAATAATATTTTGATATTCTAAGTAAATTTGTTTAGTATATAAAAATATTATTTTAGTATAGTTGATTTTATTTTTCTTAAAATTTAAAGAAAAATATTTAATTTTGAGTTTTTTAATTAAAAATTCAAAATTAAATATCTTTTTTTAAAATTTTAAAGAAAATAAAATTAACTATACTGAAATAATATATTTTTATATGCTAGACAAATTTATATAAAATATAAAGATATTATTCAATAGTAAAATTTTAAAAATCTTAATATTTATTAAAATTTTACTAATAAATTATTATTATTATTTTTTTTTTCCTTGTTAAGGTAACTTCTTTGGCCTGGTAATCTTTTTATTAGATATTAAGAACTTGTTACAATTATAATAAAAGTACAACTAGCCACATGTGCACTTTTAGTGCCTAATTTAAGTATTCTGTCCAAAGGTTTTATACTAATTGCCATACCTGCAACCCAACTATGAAGTTACCTATTTAAACTTTCTGGTTATAACCACAGGCTCTTCCTACCTAACCTAGGTATAACCTCACTATATATAGACTATGAATTTATATGATATCCTTAGCTTTTGGCACCCTACCTTAAGACTCCTTTTAGCTGATCCATAAGGTAAACCTAATATTATATATTGTGTCCTATACATAGTGCATATGTATTCAGTAAAATTCATCCTAATTAATACATATTGTCTGCTATTATTAGATTTGTATCTCATACTACCTTTTGGGGTACTGCCATAATACAATCCGTATTTCAAGCATAATCTTTCTAATTAGTCCTCCTATTATCTACTTCTCACCTCTTGTAAGGTTCATGACTCTAGTACTCACATTCATATTTTATACTTTGGTCTTCAGTCTTTCAATCCTAATAACCTGGGGGATTGGTCTGCCCAAACCCAAAGGTTCTAATCTCAGGTCTGAAGGTCTCCCAACCCTTGGTACAAGCTTTCATAATACAAGTTCTTTTTCTCTAAAGTCTTATCTTAGGATCTTCTACTAGACAACTATACTGAAGTAACCAATGAATATATATCTAGTGTGGCTCTAGTGACCCCGGCAGCCTGGTTGGTAGATCCTTTTGTCTGAAGATCTTTGTCATCTGAATTTTTTATTTCTGAACCGCTTCTGTAGCATTGTTGAAAGCCACTAATTCTTACTCAAGACTTCTCCAAGAACTGGAATTCTCCAAGCTGGTTCTAGATCTCTAGATTCTGTGTATAGATATCTTTAATATTTTTTGTTGCTTAGAAGGCTTATTGTGGGTTTGCACTGCCTATACTGGTTTGCATTCCTTTATGCAATGACATAAATGCTTCCAGAAACTTCTAGCGCCTAAAGGCATTGGTGTGACCCCAGTAACAGGTTATAAACCTAACCTAATTTGAGAGATCTGTCACCATAACACAGATATTTTTGTTTGAAATGTCTCCAGTGGGATTCAAACTCGGTACCATAGTTAAGCTAGCTTGGAGGGTGCGACAACTCTACTACTTTACTAATTTACTAATAAAAAAACAATATAATATAAAATTTTATTAATAAATAAGAAAATATTATTATAATGCTATAGTGCTACAGCACTACCCTTACATAATCTGCTAATTAGAATAGTCTTAACATTAAAAACATAGTACCATGATGCTATTCTTATGTAATTAATTAAATAAACTTTTATAAAAAAAAGCTTATACTTTTTATTTAATTGCTCTATAGTTGATTTTTCTGCTTATGCCTGATTTTCATCGTACTATCCTATTTACACTTAACTTTATTCGATCAGTTTACGCCAATTTATTTTGTTATTTGCTTGCAATGCGACTTTGTAATCTGTGCTCAGTTTGTAGTCACGTGATGACGATCATGCAATGTTCACTGAATAATGCAAGTTTATATATATCGAATATCTAATTTATAGTATCACAAATGATAAATTCCCTTTTTTTCGTAAAAAAATTTTTAAGTTCTTATTATCTTTTTTATTATCTTCTTATTGCTTATACCCAGTATATAAATTTAGCTTATTTCTTAATATTGCTTAATCAAAAAACTTAAATAAATAATAATTAATATATTATGCATATCTGATATTTCTATCCTGAGTTACGAACTATCTAAAAATTTTAGTATTTAAAGCATCGCTTAAGCAAACATGTAAATTCATAAGAAACTTAATAAAAAATGATTTATCAATTAAATAAATCAGAAATTTATAATACTGTATATAGATTATTTCAAATAATTTTAATTAATAATCCTTATTTTATTTCATACCATTAAATCTGCTTTCCATAAAAGCCTATTGTAAATCGTGTGATTTCTTTTTTTGCCATTTCTTTCGTGGAGACATAATAAAGTGGGTTTGATTCTCTTTGGTCTTAGTTTTGGCTATATTATTATGTGTGTAGTTCCTTGGTCTTCCTTGTCATGCTTTTCTAAGCTCGCAGCTTGATCCTTGTCTATGTCTAGCAGTTGCTGCGACTTGTACTCTAATTCTTTTACCTTCACGTTGATGTTTATTACTATTAACTCAACCTGTATTCCAGTTGCATGTTTGAAAAAAAGAAGATATTAATAGTTAGATGTGAGTATCTTGTATAGAGCGGCGTTGCTTATAAATTTTGACAAATTTGCATACGCTTTTATCTAGCACAGGATCATTTTTCTCAAGAAGTTTTTCAAGATCATGGCAGAACCACTGGAATTTATTCAAAGCTGACTGATGAAGATTATCTATCAGTCTCACTTGTATTACTATTATTATCATAACTATCTTGACTATTACTTTCATTACCATCATGACTATTGCTTTCATGACTATTACTTTCATTACTATCTTAACTATCGCTTTCATTACTATCTTGACTATCACTTTTATTTTTATTTATATTTTCCTCACTTGAAGACTATAAAGACTGTGAAGATATTAAAGATACGGGTTCTATATTTTCTTTATTTGGGCTATTAAATTCAATTTTATAATCTATACTATTATTAATATTTTTTATATATACAGTATATATAGGTTCTTGTTTAAACTATGCTTGATGAATATCAGTGTAAAATTCAAGCTCTTGACGTCTCTCACCTAATGCTAGGTAGGCATAGTGATACCAACTACTTAATGACATTGTAGGGATTTGATTTAATCCACATACATAGTAATGAGTTACTATTGAGTATTGATGCCTAATGGTACTCCTGTCGAATTACGTTCACACATTCCAAGCTTCATATCTACAAGATACTATACATCTGGATTTTTCTTACTTTTATGTTTAAACATCATTGAATCAAGACTTACAACCTCAATATTATCCTTCGATCTTATTTGCCAGCCTGGAAGATAAAAACATAGTGTAATAAAATGATCTAGCCTATTATGAGCCACAGCTAATAGCTTATGGGTATAATATAGGTTTATTGTATGAGTAATGAAATAGAAAATTTGTACTATGTTAAATGCTTGAATTCATTTAAAAATAACATCTTTTATTATTCATATCCTAGCTTCAGAAAAATTATTCGTGTTATTATTGCGGGTTGGTAATTGCTAGCAAAATAAGATAGCCTATTCCTTGTGGTGATTCCAAATAACTCTAAAATGTCTTTGAAAGTGTAGATATTTTAGGTATGTTTGACTAGTTGTCAGTTCTGTATAAGTGCTTTAAGTATAATCTTATTCTTTGCAAAAACAATTTTTTTTAAATATTTAATAAAGATAATATGATCGCTCATGTGAATGCTATGCTTTCCTTCTTATAACCATTTCCATATTGCCTGCAAAAAATAAAAGACACATAACAACAAGGTTGTCTTTTTCCAAGTACACTGCAATGCTTTTCTTTCCGCAGTGGAATTATTAGTCATAATAACTTGAGGTCCAACAAGAGGTCCATATCCACCAAATACAGTTGATGGCATTATATACTTTAGCATATCCAGAGCTTTTGTAAATATAATTGTAGTTTTATTTAATGTTAATATTGCAGCAAGAGGTAAGCCACCAATAGGAGTATTTGTTAAGATAATAGTCAAAGGGGTATTGAGAGTATCAAGACTGGCTGTAGCATTTATATAAACTAGTTCTCTAGCTTGTTGTAACAAATGATAGCGTTTCATAAGGTTGTTATAACTACTAATATAAAAGGTTGTCCAGGATCACTGTTTACTGATACAATATACAGTTGCATCCATGTATTTCCTTTCATATAGGTGTTAAAATCTGAAACCTCTTCAGCTAAATGAGAAAACATTTCTTTTCTATTTTGTGCATCAATATATTCATTAAGAAACTTTCGATAGAGGTTATAAATGTCATGTTTATGTGGACAAATTGCCCTATTAGCCAGTACTACTTTATCATTGTTACATTTTAGTTGAATCTCTTCTATATATGTATTATATGTGCTAGTGGAGGTATGTCCAGAATTAAAGAGACTAAAGAATATTTCTTTTGTATTATTAAATATAGAGCAAAAACTTGTAGCATAACCCGATACAAGAGGATGATTATGGTGGAATAGTAGCGAAATTATACATAGATAAGTACAATATTTTTTTTGAACTTTTATACTGAGTTTTGTTAGGCAATTAGTATCTCGTATACGTGTACTAACTTTAGCCTTTTTTTTCTCTTCAATTTTAGCATTTTTACTCATTTCATTGTTAATATTGTTTTTTCCTTGTCCTTGTTTTAATTTTACTGCATGGCCATGAATACAATGAAAATGTTTCAAAAAAAGATATCGAACACCTTTGATAATGCATCCTTGAGTTTCTCTCATAGTTACTTTATATAAATCAGAAAACTTTTCAAGCCATGTTTTGGCATCATCAATTGTGAAAATATTTATACAAAAATCTGCTTCGAAAGGTTCTACGCATGTATCCAAAAAATTATATGCTTGAATTATATTGAACGAATCAATGATGTATTTATAGTCTTGAGGCAAAGCATGTTGCAAAATATCAAGATCAGATTGTGTGATTTTGATGTCAGATATTGAAATATGCGGTATATTTGTTTTGAATGTATTTAAGATAAAATTTAATTCCATTATTATTTTTTTTTTAAATGAAAGTTTTATTATTATGAATGCTCATGAACTTTTTGAAGAAAAGCTTCTCAGGATCCAAGTTTAGACAAATTGAAAAAAAAAATTTAATTGCTGAAAGATACTTCTTTTATATAGCGGCCATATAGATTATTATTTCAATATTAGATAAGTATGAGATCAACTTGTTTTATTATATAATTTAATAGTTTAATTTTAATGACATATTTTAACAAAGGTTTATTCTCATTATTTATTTAATATTACATATTTTATGACATCATTTTATACTTAATATACTTTATTACATCATTTATCTTTATTTACTAAACACTGCTTAATGACTTTATATCAAAAACCAGGTTAATTTAACTTTTTTTATATTTATTGTGTCAATGTTTCTGTATGTATAATCCATACTAATTAACATGACACACAAAATATGATAATCGCATTATCCTATCCCAAAGCTATCATAGCAATTAACCAAAGATAAGTATTATTATATAATATACTTCTTTCTTAAAGTAAACACAAAGCTAACCTATACAT